ACAAGTGCAAATTCATTCTCTTTCTCTCTCTCTCTCTCTCTCTCTCTCTAAACCTTCTCTGTTTTCTCCTTCTTCTTCTGCAATCTCTCTGTTCTCTTTCTTGCGTATTGCTTAACAATATCGACTATTACAAAAGAAATTCGACATCTTTTCTGTAAGATTCCTCATAAGTCTGCATATATATATATATGTGTGTGTGTGTGTGTGTGTGTGTGTGTGTGTGTGTGTTGAGAAGTATATATATGCGCTGCATATGGATTTGTAATTCTTGGACGTATTTACACACAACCTTGCATATGAGTTAGTAATTTTTCCCATTTCTTATGCCTAAGATAAAGTATGCTATGTATTTTTAGGAAAAACATACGCTAGGGAGACGATATTTTTGTACAACATTGGTGTACCATCTGATATGATAAGTAATATGTACTTATTGGAGCAGGATTCTCTTCCCTTTTATTGGCTATGAATTATCTGCCACATCATGTGGTACACCAATATAATATAATTATGTAATCTCCCTAACATTTTTCATTGTTTTAAAATCCAAAGAAATCTTGTTTGTAATGTATTTGGTTGTTAAAAAAAGGTCACCATAACATAAATTAATTTCTCAGGGCATGTGGTTTTATTTATTTATTTAGCTTAATTGGCAGAACTGTAGCTGGCCTTATTTTTAACAACCAATATATAGTAGACTAGTGATCCGATTTCCGTAGAAAATAAGGAATACTGATCTAGAGATTTACTTGCCACGCAAAGAAAAAGGTTTAATCAGATTTTAATGCATTCACAAATAATTAATAGCCTTTCAGTATTTTTATATTTATGAATTATACAAATTCTTCCTGCAATCGTATCTTGTCCTGTAGCATATATACCTTTCACAAAGAAGGTGGAAAGAGTAATGCTAGGTAGATCAAATTTGCAATCCATGTGATGTACGTCACAAATAGTATCTTATCTTGCAATCATATTTTATATTTATGAATTATATATATTTTTCCAGCAATCATATCTTGTCATGTAGCATATATAACTTTCACGATGAAGGCAGAAAGAGTAATGATAGGTAGATTAAACTTGTAAATCATGTGATGTACGTCACCAATAAGAAATATGCACGTTAATTAATACTTAAGTAATAGTTTAATTATTAACAACCACGTCATATAACTTACAAAATTTAATCTAAAAAGTTGATCTTCCTAGCATTATCCAGCTAAAAAAGATTGTTCTTCTTTTAACAAAGAATTAAAGGTTAAAGTTTCACCTTTTACCTTGAATCTCGATCGAGCATAATGCACATTTTATGTATAAGCACCTGGGTGCATTGCTGAGATTTTACCAACATACAATGATTGGTAGTGATTAATCGGAAGTTAAAAAACTTAATTCTTCTCATTTTCCCCCATTTTTAACGATAAAGTAACAAACTTCAATATCTCCAATCACTATAGACCAAAAGGATATTATCCGTCCTACTATCCAGATCCAGATATTTTATGTAAGTATATAGATAACCTTCTCTCTCTCTCTCTCTCTCTCTCTCTCTCTCTCTCTCTCTCTCTCTCTCTCTCTCCCTCCCTCTCTCTCACCCTTCTTTCTTGCATGCATGGACCATCGCATGCACGAGAGACACATGGGCATCAAGAAGTCTGACGTTGGTCCCCTTCAAGATTTAGCAATTGCTAATAAACAGGTTAAAGGTTAATCGTTGAATACAAGGTTTTGTAAGAGAAACAGTTAAATACACGCATGTGGGAGCTGGTAGTAAAGACTAATCTATCAACTTGTATATAGGAACCTTTAAAAAACTTGTTATTGTTTTTAAGTCTAAATTAACCCGATCCATCCAGAATCAGTACTAACCTAGCTTGCCACTAGGCTTATTACTTTTTATAAGGAGAAATTAGGTTCTCATCCCTCCTTTTGCTACTCTATTTTTTCAATTTTTGATCAAGATCTTTGGTATTAATAACATCATTAATTATTTCAATAATAAAATATTTTTACCTAAAAATATTCATTTAGTGTTAAAAACGTTACAATTAGTATATTTATATTTATGGCTAAATTTTTTATCATATATTTTTATTTTTAGTTTGTACCCATTTTTAATTTGCAAACATTTTTTTATTTGCACCAATTTTCTTTTCAGTTTTACTTTGTAACCATATATTAATTTCTTTTTGTGCCCATATTTTTTAAAGTTTTATTTGTATTTGTGCCCATGTGTTTACCGTCACGTGATATTGTATAATTAAATCAATGACAGAAAAATTACATATGGTGTATTTATGTTTTATGGCTAAACTTTGTATCATATATTTATATTTTTAGTTTGTAAATTACATATGGTGTATTTTTTAAAATTTCATTTATACTCATAATTTTTTAATGTTTTATTTGTACCCTAATTTATTTATAATGTACCCATTCTTCTTTATTAATGTACCACTTTGTTATGTGTGAAATGTACCAATTTTTTAACACTATGGATACATTCTTTTGCCATTTATTATTTCTTATTGTTACATAAATTTTATCGATTTATTCAATTAAAATGTTTGAATTTTTTTATTGTAGCCATTTCTAATAGTATTATAATGAGGGATTTTAAATTTATAGGATTATAAATTTTATATAATATCAAACAATTAATGTCAAAACTATAAAAATATAAATATTAATAGTAATATAATAAGGTGTACAAAGTCAAGGGACTTTGATCAAACTTTGAATACCATCAAGGTTTTAGTCAAAGAGTGTTAGAGACTAGGGACCGCATCCAAAGTATCCCCTTTTATAATGTGGTCTGAAAGTGAAAGCTAATACATACTTCATAATGTATTTCAACGATCTGAATCGTCTATATTTCAGTACATTCTTCATAGACCATTTTTGTAAAAAAATTAGACAAATACAAATCATTAAGACATTTATTTGAAGTTTATTAGGCGATCACCTATATTTATTTTATGTTATTTGTTTAGCAAAAAGTTGGTACACCAAGATGATTGATTAGCTGAAAGGTATAAACAACAGACAAATTAACGCACGTAGATAAGTAGGTAAAATCAGTACCAAATGTGGATAAGGTAGGAGGGGTTGGTTATAACTTATTTGTCAGATTTATATTGCAGTACTTTTTAATGTTGACGAGGATGACAAAAATGGGAAGCTATCAGTCAACGTGCATGCATGAGCATGTGATCCTAATGATATTGCTACCTCTCCCCACTTCATTCCTTCCATTTTCTCTATAATTATACTGAACATGAACGTATGTTTACCCAAACAATCAGAATCAAGGAGGCAAAAACCTTCTTTGAAACTGCTGGTGATCTTGATTCATTTTATCGGGCAATCACACCACGATCAAACAACTCGTCACACGATGAATTCTTACCTACATTTTTTGTACCTAGAGTTGATGAAATATCTGCACAAGAATTGTACAGAAGGTTAATTATTGGATGTGATCAAACAGTTAAATAATATGAATTCTGTGCTTAATTAAGATTGAGAAGAGATCAACAAACTTGTGTGTGTGTGTCCATATGTGTGTATATACAGATATAAAATCTAATTATTAAACAGCTTAGAGGCACTATAATTGGTGGTTTTTTTGTTCCATTTTTCTTTTTATGGATGTCTTCACCATATCTCTCTCTCTCTCTCTCTCTCTCTCTCTCTCTCTCTCTGTGATACACTGCACACAAACACAAATATATATGACCTAATTATATTATTAGTTTCTATGATGATATGGTAGTCAAAAGATAGACTATGTGGTAATAAAAAAAAAAATTAAGATTTAAACAGTGAACTCCGTTGGGATATAGGTCCAAAATTAAAAGTTCCGTTAACTCTCCTTTAATTGTTAGCGTGTGAGCCACACATATGAGACTAAATTAATTTACATAACCTTCCATATATATATATATTAATTTTGTATTAATTTCCATACTGCAATAATTGGTTAATTAGCTGGGTATATTAGGAATCCAAAAGTCATAAAAATTGACAAACAAACTTAATATAGTAAGTTGCTTAGTTGGATTGGTTTATATTCAGACAAATTAAAATAACATGATGGGTTATAGGCTGAAAAAATGAGTTTGAAAATTTTCGAATCGGATAGGTACATTCCAATTTCTATTTGGAATCGGACTTGAAATGGAAATTTTTAGTTTTGATTGAAATTTTCAGTCTAACATGCACCGCTGGGCTCAACCAACAATCAATAGGAAATAGGAAAAAATTTAGCCAAATATAAATAAGAGAATGGTTTTTCTTCTATCCTATACGTACGAACCACAATGGTAAAAATTCAACCAGAAGTTGGGGCACTGCCGCTCAGGAAAACCAAAGACATGTCGTACTTTTTCACCTTTATAATTAATAAAGTTGAAGTTTCATTGCCGATGCATGTTTTGTGCATAGAATGTGCATTTTTTACATGATATAGAATATGATGAATATTTTTGTTTGCATAAAATACAAGTTCATGATTTTTTCCCTATTGCATGGTTAAAAAGTTGGAGTATTTTAACTTTAATTGGTTCATATTTTCGGCTCTCTATACTTAAAATCATAGATCCACCACTGCTTTTATGTGTAAAGCCGCTGATCTCATAGACCAACTTAACTCTGATAATCATAAAATAATTTGAAATTTCACTATATATTGAACAAAATCTTTAATTCTACGATATGAAATTCAAAATCATAATACTGATAAGCATTATAATTGTCAAACACTAATATTACAATGTGTCCACTCCCCTTCTCTCTATGTCACACAAAAATTTTGAGACTCGTCTGTAATGCCAGCTGATTATCACGCATGGGCGAACCACCGGTCCAAGTCAACCCATCTTTTTGCTTCCGGCTATCCAATTGATTTGCAGCTATTGTTACCTACCTTCCTGATAGTATATACCATTACCCTTCCTTCCATTTGTTCCTCAACTCTCAACCCAATCCCCTCTGGCCTCTCTCTCTCTCTCTCTCTCCATTTTAAGGTTAATTTCTTGGAAAGCTTAAGGTTGGTTATAAGATTTTAGAATGAGGAAACCCTGCTGCGATAAGCAAGACATAAACAAAGGAGCTTGGTCCAAGCAAGAAGACCTCAAGCTCATCGATTATATTCGTAAGCATGGCGAGGGTTGTTGGCGTACCCTTCCTCAGGCTGCAGGTAATTAACTAAGTACTTATATATTTATATATTTTTATGGATTAACAAGGTATATATATGTATATTAACATATTTCGGTTAATTATATCATAACAAAAACATTCATCAGAAAGGTAAACTACTTACGAGGAGTTAATTCCTTGATTTCTTACATTCCTCGTCAAATATTTCTCTGTCTCTTCCTATTTTAACTAAACCAACAAATGCTAATTTGTTCCTTTTCTTCTTCTGACAAATTTCTGAGAACTTTGAAAAGATATTAATTACTACTAATTGCCACCTCTTTTTCTTGGTTCTTCTCTTTTGGTTCAGGCCTACTTCGTTGTGGTAAAAGTTGTAGGCTGAGATGGATAAACTATCTACGACCAGACCTCAAAAGAGGCAACTTTGCTGAAGATGAAGAAGATCTCATTGTCAAGCTTCATGCGCTCCTAGGCAACAGGTACTTACTAATTCTTTCGAGAGAACTCATTTATACACACCATGTTTCTCCTTCTGCACATCTATGTTGATTTCTATCAATTAAATTTTTCCTTTTCTTTATTTAATCCAAGGGCTAAAATATATTGGGTGTGCATGGATGATAAAACGAAAGTGTGTGAATTTTAATTGTCCCCCGTTGTCTTTAATTTATTTCTTACGACAAATGATCAAATAAGAATGATCAATTATTTATATATGCAATTGCACCATGCATAAATAAGTAAAGTTTACAGATTTATTGATGTTAACTAAACGATTTAACTAACTATTTAGCTAATTTTTTTAGGTGGTCATTGATTGCTGGGAGATTACCAGGACGTACAGACAATGAAGTGAAAAACTATTGGAACTCTCATTTGAGAAGAAAGCTTATGAGCATGGGTATAGATCCAAATAATCATCGACCGAACAACGTTAATCTCTCTCGTCTTCATCATCAAAATTCACAAACTGTCAGCAGTACTGCAACATTGTCTGCAGCTTTAAAAAACCCTAGCAATTATCAGCAGCAAGCAAGATCCGGTGGTAATAATAGTTGCGACCAAAAATCAGACGGGACAAGTTGCTTAGAGGATGATTCTTGTGGCCGGCTGCCTGATTTAAACCTAGACCTCACAATAACTGCTCCTTTGTGAAATCCAGTTCCTGATAACCTCAAGGATTAGGAGCAAAATTTCGAGTCTGAAATGTCAAAGAAATCGTCAGAATTTGCTTCATCTACCAATACTCCTCTCTTCAGATAATCAAATATTCGTCCACGTGGATCGGAAGGTTTCTGACTAGCATTAATTTTATCTGGAACGGCTTATGAAATTAATTATGTATTGATCAATTGGAGATCAATTATATATTAGGGTCTATTGATTTTAATTACCAAAATTAATTATGTATTGAGAAGCCTAGCAGTAATTTTTTTAGAATAATTAATTTTAATTATAAAAATAAAACTATTGATTAATTAAGTGATGTTGCATGTATATGCTAGCTGTCATATCATATGGTTTAGAGATATAATTCAAATAAGTTGGTCTTCGTAGCTTTACTTAAAATAAAAGGGTGCATTTTTGCTCATCCCATCCTCAAGTGGTGGTAATGCTCATCACCATATTTATCATTGTTGGATGAGTTTAAAATTTGAGATTTGTGTCTATCCACTACAGAGCTGTCGAAATTTAAACTCATCTAACAATGATAAATAGAGTGGTGTGAAAAAATATTTTCAAAATAAAAAATATATTTTTCCCCAATAATATATGTGGGCATTAATACCTGTTTAAGCAAATAGTGAAAATATAATACACACATAAATTTAATCTTTATATTCCCTCCTTCCTCATTCACAAGTGGATCCACATTGATATTGACCTACGATTTTTTGTTCTCATTTATATACAAATATGAAGATAAAGGTTTTTTTTTTTTTTTTTGTCAAATGTAGAGAATATTCATAAAATTAAGTCCAAACGGACAAAATACACTTTATATAGCTCTAGAAAGTTCTAACATACATAAAGAATATGCCACTTATGTAAATAAAACATGAGTAATGGTTCTTTGCTGCAGAAATCACGAATAGTACATAAATGAAAAAACATAAACAAGTTTTAATCTAAAAAGAAAAGTCCTCCACAAAAGCTCAAACATAAAGAGGCCCAAATCCAGCTAGTAGAGAAAACCCTAGAGCCTAGATGATGAATGACCAGTGGCAGCTACCTGGAACCCAGAAGCGGCCGACAACCCACTCCACAAAATCACACTTGTACATCCCTACATCATGCCATTTATCTTCAAAAGCCCTAAGTAATAAACAAAGCTAAATGTGAAGTTATATATGAGTGTTAACCATGAATTTTGTGTCATCGTCTCTTTGGGTTTCTCCTTTTCTCTTTTGGTTTTGTGGTGAAAAAATCTGAAAAAAATTGATATTATGTATACATAAATTTTAGAGGTTGTAAAGGCCACGACTTGGAATACATTGTTGAGCAATGAATTCATGAAGCCATGAAGCCGCCCATATCTCTTCATTTACATTTAAAGATCTACAAAGCTACGTGATACTCGTTGGTTTTAATTAATAAGTTAATTAATACAAGAAATCAAAACTCTAAGATGGGCTTAATGCATGCACGTATGGTTAATCATAAGGACATCCCATGCATATAGACTTCTAATATGTCCTATCCTTCACCCTTAAATTAAGTAGAGATGCAATTACCATTAGTAAGCATTATTTTGCTTTCATGTTCTTGAGATTAATTCAGTAATGCTGTTAATGTGTGACTTAAAATTGACTTTACTTTGTGGAATAAAGCCTTGTTGTTGTTGTCGTCAATGTGTGGCTTGGCACTTTGCAGCATGTTCTTCTTCTAAGGAAGGGGTCCACATGGCCACACGTCATTAGTTCGTTAAAATAAGGAATCTATAAAAAAAGATTGAAGAAAAAAATGCTCATCACAAGAAGATTAAAGAAAAATAAATAAAGAAAACCCCCTCGGGTGACATTTCTTTTCCAATCGAATGGTCTGTTTGAAATGTGAATATTTCTATTGATAAAGGAGATGATTATTCTGCAAAAGGATTATTGGTTACTTCTTTTATATTTTAAGCAAAGCTAATTAAATCAGCCGGCAACAGCTCAATGTAGTCAAGGTCAAGCCAACTTAACCCTTGACTTTCTTCCAAAGAAAATATATTAGACAAGATCACAAACACATTGAAATTAATCGACGAGAAATTTTTACATGTTTTAGTTTTGCATATTTTTCGGAATTGATCGACGAGAAATTCATATTGATGATGGGAGTGGGAGCAATGTCAAATTTAATCTTTTGAGTGCATGAATCAAGGCTTTTTCATTGCTTTATAACCATAGGGATAGGGAGCTGATAGACTGTCTTATTGCAGACTACCCATAGGTTTTTTTTTACAAACAATATCGTTAATGGGTTAAATTGTTAGTAAGTAGAGAGGGAAGAAATCGGTGGGGATCGAACCCGCACCAGAGTACACAAACATAATTATTCTTTATCACTACAGTAAATCCTCATCAGCATAAACTCCTCATGGTAAGAAACCTTCTTGTTTTTACTATTGTTATTGATTAATTAGTATTACTACCACCTATTCATCTACATTAGGGGCCCCTAATAACGGTGTTACAATAATAATAAATTAAAACTAAAACTTAGGACAATAAGAAAAGGCCGAGTCCGATCTCTTGTAGAATACAACAATAATGCAGATAACAGGGGATAGATAATGTCAAGAAATTAAAAATGGGAGAAAGAATGTGTTAGAGCACTTCCAGTGTAGGAAGGCCCACTGGGCAATAGGCAACTCAATCCCCTTGAATGAACACAGTAACTGCATGCAACGAATAGTAACTGACAAAGTGCATAGCTCAGGCAATTCGTAATAAAATATTAGTATTTTTTTTATTTTATAGAATAATAAAAGATAACTTTATTTTTAATTTCAGATAATAATAAAAAGTTAGTTGAAAGTATTCGAAAATATTGAAATATATTGTAAAGTAGAAGGACATGGTTACGTAATTAGAGGAAAAAAATTATAATTTTTTATATTTTTAATTAGTTTTTTTAATATAATTTTTAATATTTTCTATAATGTTTTAATAATTTAAATTGTGTGACGTCAGCCTTACGTCATATAGGCAGGACGTTGGGCTAGGCGATATTGCTTGACTCCTCCATCGGGCTCACCTTGAGGCCAATTGCCCTAGTAAGTTGGAGTGTTTTGAAAGGAGAAGAATGGATTGGGTTGCATATACCTCAAGCAATAAACAACAGTGAAGTTGCTTTTATAGATTTGCAACGAACAAGCCACACACATGTGCCACCACCATGAAAGCTCTTTCGAATTTTGTGTCCAGAAGGAAAAAAGAAACAAAAACAAAAGACAATGTCACAACAAAATTACAATGTCAAGGCCCAGCTAACTAGGTATCAACTTCACGAATATATCGTCATCGACATCCCAGCAAGTTGAACCTTCAACCTCTTCCGACTAAATGAAAATAAGCCAACAGGATCCTCTCCAGATTCTTAGGTTATCTCCAATCGAAGGAGGGTCAAAGGACTCTCTTTAGCCCTATAGCCCTTCAAGAAATTATATTTTAATGAACAGTGTTAGGCCATATTTCATTTCATCTCTAACCGAAGGGGCCAAAGGATCATAGGCCAAATAGAATTTATTATTTTAATTGAATTAATATAGTTAATTAAATTAAACTACCATAGTAAGATAAGATTTTTGGACATATTGGAATATTGAAAGAGGTGGCAATTTGAAAATTATTGAAAAAATTAAAGGAAAAATTATTGGAAGAGAATAGAATGTGAATAATTGAAATAAAATGAGGTAAGATAGTATAGAATCATAAAAAGCATGTGAGAAATTGTGTAGGAAAAAATTAGAAATTTTAAAAATAAAAAAAATTCATCCAAAAATTAAAAATTAAAAAAAAGGGCTGGGCTCATCGAGCTGACTGGAGATGTCAAGCCGGTTGGCCTAATTGGCTGGTTTTGGCCCGATATGGTCCACAAGCCCTTTGGTCTAGCCCTCAGTTGGAAATGGCCTTATGGTGAGGATTCTGGGGATCTGTAAATCGTGTTCATTTATCGTAATTCGTGCAGTCAGTTTTTGTCAAATAATATTTGTATTTAATTTTAAATAAAAATATTTAAAATAATTTTTTACCGCATAATGTATGGTGAATGAATATGATTCACGAATCCTCACGATCCTCACAAAGAGGATCTAGCGAGGATCCGGATTCGAAAATAAGTATCACTAACTCTACTCATAGAGGAGTCTATCGACTATACATTAATGTATAATATACGTTGGGTTTGAAGTGGCTTAGTTTTATTGTTAAATTTTTGGGAATTCTTTAGCTGCAAACCCAAACCATTAAATTAAGGACTTGTCTCTCGACTTACGAATAACGAATTTTTTTACTGTTTGAATGTCATAATTGGAATAGTTCATTCTCTTTATCATAATCTAAAGATTATATATGTAAAAAATTTATTCAATTTTAGAGATATTTTAGTCATTCATATGCATAAAATAAATAGACGATTCATCATGAAAATGCTATTTGTTACCAAAGCCGTTCATTGGTTTAACACATATGGATGACTAAACGGTATCCACATTTAATTATTTTGTACAGATATGATATTTAGATGATGAAAAAGAACTGTTCCGATTTTAATATACAGACACTAAAAATATGTTAATCATGAAGAGAGACAAGTAAGTCCTCTACGGGGACACAAACATTATACTGACAGATTAATTTCATGGAATTATTAAAATAAAGAGTAATGTTAGCGAGACTAAATTTGTTGACTAAATTTTGTAAACTAAATTTCATGGAAATTGATGAGCAGATTATTACTTAAACATTGATAAACGTACTCATTTCTTATTGGTGACATATTATTTAGTTTACAAATTTTTAGTTTTTCACTTGCTGATGAGAAAAAGATAATAATCGGAGCATCCGGGGCAATTCTTGCTTTGGTAGAGTTGCTTCAAAACGGGAGCACCAGAGCGAAGAAGGATGCGTCAACGGCATTGTTCAATTTGTGCATTTATCAGAGCAACAAGGGCAGGGCTAGTCACAGCCTTACTCAAGATGCTAACTGATTCAATCATGGTCGATGAAGCACTGACTATCATTTCAGTTCTTGCAAACCACCAAGAGGCAAAAGTAACCATTGTAAAGACCGGCACCATACCTGTTTTGATAGAGCTTTTGCGAAAAGGTCTGCCCTCGTAACAAAGAGAACGCAGCTGCCATTTTACTTGCCTTGTGCAAGAGAGGTAAAGAGAGCCTCGCCTGCATAATCAGGCTTGCCGGGATGGTGCCCTTGACAGAGCTCGCTAGGAGCGGCACGGTGAGGGCCAAAACGGAAGGCTACTTTGTTGTTGG